ATTATATTATATTATATTATATTATATTATACTATATTATATTATATTATATTATATCATAAAACATCACACCATATCATGTCATATCATAGGTCTATCATGGTATGTTACATAAGACTGTAAGCGTGTTATAAGGGGGTTATTTTTTCGCTAGTTTACTGTAGACTGTAACCTTGTCTTCCGTGGCTGTTGCCGAATGCGACATAATCCCTAGTAGCATCTTGTGGATTAGTAGCATAAAACAATGTTGCTGGATGGTAACAATTATCACATTTTAAATTTTTTTTAAAAGATTGTAAGCAGCGCTCTGCCATCTCTTCCAATCCCGGGTGGCGGCCGAAGCCTACTCTTATCGATTTTAGACCACCAAGGGATCTTTAACGTGCACAACTTGCACACGGGACCTCCGAGATTAGGTGTAGATCTTACCTGCCCTAAGATCAGGGGTGTCGCTGAAAGACAGCAGTAAGTAGGAGCCAAGGAGTAGCAGTGGAAAGGCTGCAGAAAGAATCAGGGGCCCAGAGGAGGGGGCAAAGGGGGTGGGGGGGTGGGGCAGAAAGTGGAGATGAAAGTAGACGACAGAACATTGCTAGAGAGCAGGGGAGGTGAAAGGAAAACATTTTGGAGATGTAAATGTTCCGTCGCTGTCTTGTTTCAACCCGGGACCTATTAAATGAGAAGCAAACACCCTAACTTCTAGACCACCGAAGCCCCATGACTTCTGTGTCTCCTGTCATCATTAAATCTCAAGATCCCAGTACAGTGATTGGAGCATCACAAACTGCTCACACGCAAGCCGTGACATCACTCGTCTACCACGGCGCACATGCCACTCTAGTCAAAGGGCAATACACCTTCTTTAAATCAACCAACTTTTTTTACCGACATTTTTTATCGGAACAAGAACATTTAAGTAGAATGTGAGCTTTTTTGCTAATTTTGGACTGGCTGAGAATCTAGCCAAAGTAATATTGTTTACTGCTACTTGGTACAGATTCAAGAACGGCGCTCGCTACATGGGTGAATACATGAAGAACAAGAAACACGGACAGGGACTCTTTATCTACCCTGATGGGTCCAAATACGAAGGTGAGTCTCTTAGTCTCAGTCATAGTCGTAGAGTTACAGTCTTAGTCTTAGTTTTAGTCTTACTGATTACAAATCTCACACATGCAAGTCTTTGGCAGCTGATAGAAAGTTTGGATAAATTTTGTTTTTGCTGATTTATTGTGTGGTACAAGCTGAAAACATAGTCTTGATAATATTAGTTTCTCTAAATTTATAATAATGATACAATAATAATTATAATTACAATTATAATGATCATAGAAATAAAAAAAAAGATAATATTGACTAATAATAATAATAATAATAATTATAATAATAATAATAATAATAATAATAATTATAATAATAATAATAATAATAAAACTAATGATGATAATAATAATATAGAGCATTTCCAAGCTTAACAGAGTGGTCTACAACTAACAATTAGCAGCTCACAGAGCAAGCAGCCATCGCTCAGACACGAATTTACTAACAAGATCTTTTGC